AAGCAGCTTCAGCCCTGAATCCTCTCAGTGAAAGTAAACATGGTGTCTCAGCAGCCACACGTCTGGCATGAAGATGCTGGGCCTTCCAGTGAGTGATGAAACGCAGTACTGGGAGACCTTGAGACATCCGTTAAGACGTTCTTGGTCATAAATCACAGCCCCTTTGATAAATGTGGCTGAAACAAAAAGGATTTACTATCCCACATGAGTAGAAGTCTGGAGGCAGGCAATTCCAGGATTGCTGAATCCAGCAACTCAATTATCTCACGCCCCAAGCCAGCTCTTCTGCAATGCTCTTGGCTTTCTTCAAGGTCACAAGATGGCTGCTGCAGCTCCACACATCACATCATATCCCATCAGGACATTCCAAAGCAGGAAAGAAAGGGTGTGGGTTCTGTTTGCACGTCTCCTACTTTTATCAGGGAGCAAAATATACATACCAGAGCCAGGGCCAGACTCGGGTTTTGTAGGACTCTGAAGATTATGGAATTAAGGTGAAGGGGATCTCTCTTTAAGAAGAAAATATACACAATTATGAATACAAAATTAGGTACAGGGATTTGGAAGAAGTTCACACACATGAAGAACCTTGATGCATAAGCTGTAAATCTGCTTCTGCCCAGAACCCACTAGCGGCTTCCCCTCGGTCTCATTAATCAGCTGACTAGTGGGGCTAGGAAGTTCCTGCCTTGGGTCAGCTTTGGTTCTGAGATCTGAAGTTGTGCTGAAGTGCAGACCAGAGGGTCCCAATCACAGGACAAAAGTGAAACAGAGGCCAGGAATCAGGCAGACTGGGGCCCCGAAACAAAGAACAGAAAGAAGGGGTGAGGGGAGAGCAAGGACAAACAGCATTTTTGTCTCTGCCCCATTTTGTCTCTGCCCCATTCTGACTTGCGCTGGCCCACTCAGGATGCCCAGTGACAAGTGTGAGGACACGTCCTCCTTCCCCTGGCTCTGTTTCCATCTCCCCTCCATCCTTCCACCCCGCACTCTGCTGTGGGTCCAGGTGCCTGCTCCCTTCCATCTCCTCGCCATCATCCTGCCCCGTACTCTGCTGTGGGTCCAAGTACCTGCTCCCTTCCATCTCCCCCCAGTCATTCTGCCCCATACTCTGCTGTGAGTCCAGGTGACTGCTCCCTTCCATCTACTCCCCATTATCCTGCCCCGTACTCTGCTGTGGGTCCAAGTACCTGCTCCTTTCCATCTCCCCCCAATCATCCGCCCCGTACTCTGCTGTGGGTCCAAGTACCTGCTCCCCTGTAGGAAACTGACAAATTAGCGTTGACCATGTTATGTTCTATTATGTGTTTTGTACGCATTGACAAATACACACACACACGTTTGTCTGAGTAAATCAGAAGTGAGACCATCAGTTAGCAAGGGCTAAGCAGTACTGTATTGTGCGTCTTAGGGAGAAGCCACAGACCAGAAAGGAAGAATGCCTAGCTATTGACAATTACTGGAGCAGCATTTTAAAATATACAATCATTTCCAAAGGAAGATTCGAGGTAATTTCAAAGATAAGTGAAGCAGGAACTTTAAAAAGAAAAAAAAGAACATCAGAAATAAGATAAATAGGGTGTGAAAAAATAAGATTAGCTCTGAAAGATGAGGGTTGCTCACTAATAGACTATCCATGGTGGCTCACACACCTTTAATTACTAATGATAAGGGCTGCGAAACTCATCTTCATGTATTACACCCGGATCCTTAGCAACTCTAGAACGACCCCTCCCCCAAAGCTTCAATGGTATGCATAGAAAGTTATTTTATACCTTGCAGATAATAAATACATCAAGAAAAATTTCTGTTTAAATTTTAGTCAGTGACAACAGCAACTACTACAATAATAATAGCTATCTTGAATTAAGTGCATCCTAGTTCCTGTTTCTAATTCTCCTAATGACTCTGCATCGTGGATATTGTTAGTTTTGTTTGTTTGTTTTGATGTTGTTTTCTTGTTTTTTTTTGTTTGTTTTTGTTTTTGTTTTCTTTTTGACACGGAGTCTCACTCTGTCAGCCAGGCTGGGATGCAGTGGCATGATCTCAGCTCACTGCAACCTCTGCCTCCTAGGTTCAAGAGATCCTCTTGCCTCAGCCTCCCAAGTAGCTGAGATTACAGGTGCCCGCCACCATGCCCAGCTAATTTTTGTATTTTTAGTAGAGATGGGGTTTCACCATGTTGGCCAGGAGGGTCTTGAACTTCTGAATCTCAAGTGATCCGCCCGCCTTGGCCTCCCAAAGTGCTGGTATTACAGGTGTGAGCCAGTACACCCAGCTGTTATTGTTAGTTCTGAAAATAACATACAGCCAAATAAAATGGAACACACATGTGGTTCTGAGCTTCCAAGAAGCTAATCCAAAGAGAACAATCAGTTCCATTAATATAACTTAGAGCATCTATATTCATGAACATATATGTTTCTCTGGAAAATCATAATTGTCCCTGAGTCCTGAGAGACACTGAGATATCTTTTAATGACTTTTTGCAGTTTCCTAGACTAAATATCTTAATCATTTTACTTCTACCCTGGAATTTGCAAATTTTTATTATGAAGAAACCATATGTAAAAGTTATAATTTCTGATTCTACTTTAGTATAACATTGGGGCTTTATTTATTTGTTTTCTGAGAAATCCCAAAAACAAGTGCCCATTCTTTCTTTACTGGCTTAAACTTCTTTTTTTGACATCATTCTATTGTTTGTTGTACTTTCTTGACAACAGAGAATTAAAAACCCCATTCTATATCCTTGTTTCTGCTCTGTGCCAAGGCTATTAATCTCTCACATTCCTATTTGCAAAACTTCTCCCCAAATGGTAAAAGAACGTTATGTTTTGCCCTGAAACCTACACACCCATCCACAGTGCATGCGATGACATTTCAGGGCTGGCTTACACTTCACATCTGTGGCATGGCAAGACTCTCAGCCTGAAAGCAATCTCTCCAGGTCTGAGTTCGGCTGGCAGATGAGACTGGTTTCTGGTTTAGCCATGATGAGGAAAACAGCTGAGTCAGGACACGGTGATGCTGGGTGACAGCCACTAGAGTCCTGTCCCCCACTCCTTTCTGCCTATAGCCGCCATCCCAGAAACATGGAAGATTTGGTTTCCTTGGTAAAAATGCCCCTCCCCAAAACACACTAACTTTCTACCATCGATTTAAGTCTTGCAGACTTTAAGGCGGCGGCACTAACAGGAAGACTTTATTGAGTTCATCTTTTTCTCAGGATTTCTTAGAGAGGAGTCACTGAAAAAGATAAAGACAGGAACAGATTGTCTTTTTTTTTTTTTTTTTGAGATGGAGTCTTGCTCTGTTGCCCAGGCTGGAGTGCAGTGGCGGGATCTTGGCTCACTGCAACCTCCACCTTCCAGTTTCAAGTGATTCTCCTGACTCAACCTCCCGAGTAGCTGGGACTACAGGTGTCTGCCACCATGCCTGGCTAATTTTTCTAGTTTTAGTAGGGATGGGATTTCACCACATTTGCCAGGCTGGTCTTGAACTCCTGACCTTGTGATCCACCCACCTCAGCCTCCCAAAGTGCTGGGATTACACAGTCATGTAGTGGGACTGCTGACCCTGCCATAGTAAAGCAAGCCCCCTGGCCAGGGGCCCCCAGTTTGCCTCTGCCCCTGCACTCTTTAATAGTCCAGCTGGATTTCCAGCTGCTGTCAGTCCTTTCTCCGGCCTCCTGTCCTGAAAGGAGAGAAATCTGAAAGTGTTCTTATCCCCATAGGATGAAACAGAAAGAGGTAAAGCACAGGCTGCCTCCATGGGTCCAGCCTGAGCCTGTCATAGGAAATGGGCCTTCCTCACGGAAGTCCTACCTGAGACCTGGTCCCTGTCCTCTGGAAAGCCTTTGCCCTGCGTCTTCCCTCCAGGAGATGAAGATCACGCTCTTCCCCAGAGCACAGGAGCCCTGCCCAGGCTGGCTCCACTGGGGTTCTCAGTTGGACATCCTGCCACTCCCTCTCCCAGGGGCCTAGGGCAGGTTGGGTTGTCACAATGTCATGGTGGGCCAAGGACACTGAGGAGGCAGGCTCGGTGATGCTAAATTATGGGAGAGTCAGGCACAACACAGCAAAATGACAAGTGGAGAAGGGCAGTTTGCAGCAGACTCAAGCATACTCTTCCATCCCCCACTGTGAAGGCCGTGTGCATCAGCCATCATGCGCCTAGCAAACCAGCAGATGTGTGCCAAGTGCCGACTACATGTGATGGCCAATGAAAAGTTCTAATTCCACAGTGGGGAGCCACTGGGAGTCCTTGTCCCCCTCCCGCTCTCCCTGCTTGTGAAGACAGTAGATACTAAATAAATACACATACCACACAAATAAATCACTGTGGTAAGGGCTGTCATGGACACAGAGATTGCCATGAAAGAGGGTACTGGGGTGGGGGAAACAGGAGCCCGATGTAGGTGAGGGGCTACGGGGGCCTCTCTGAGAAGAGAGCTTGAGGCTGAAACCCAGAGGAGGAGTTCTCAGTGGTCAGGCGGGAAGAGGAAGTGCTCTCCAGGCTGAGGGAACGGTCTGCTTGAAGAACCTGAGCTGGAAAGACCTTTGAGAGTTAGAGGAATGGAAAGAATGGGCCAGGTGGCCAAGTGTGGGGAGCCAGGAGAGGGGACGTGGCAACGAGATGGGGCTGCTTAGGTAAGCAAGGGACCATTGGCCCAGGACTTGGTATTTTTTATCTTAAGACTTGGCATTTTTGTGGCCTGGCATAGTGGCTCACACCTGTAACATCAGCACTTTGGGAGGCCGAGGCAGGCGGATCACCTGAGGTCAGGAGTTTGAGACCAGCCTGGCCAACATGGTGAAACCCCGTCTCTACTAAAAATATAAAAATTAGCCAGGCGTGGTGGTACGTGCCTACAATCCCAGCTACTTGGGAGGCTGAGGCAGAAGAATCACTTGAACCTGGGAGGCAGAAGTTTCCGTGAGCCAAGATTGCAGCACTGCACGCCAGCCTGGGTGACACAGCGAGATTCCATCTCAAGATAAAAAAACAAAAAACTTGGTATTTTTTAATCTTAAGTTCAATGGGAAACCACAGGGAATTTTTCCAGGTAATGATCCATTATCTTCAGGGTAATGTAATTCACAGCTCATGGGAAGAACAGAGTCAAAGAACAAAGTCAAACAGGTCATGAGCAGTTCCATGAAAATTCTTACACTGACCCGCTAAACAGACTGTCAATGTGATTTCATCCACCTTTAATTAGTAATACTGGTTGCTGTGAACAACAATCTTAATTTTTCATGCCTGGATCATTGTAGACTTTGGAAAGAGCTCCCTATGGTCCTCCCAAAAGTTTCAATGACATACACATCAAGTTATTTTATATTTTACACATAATAAATATATGTTTTTTTTTTTATTTTGGTCAATAACAACCATAACAGTAGTGGCTATCTGGAATTAGGTACCTCCTCAGTTCACTCTCTCTGCATTGTGGATACTGCGATCCCAATTTTACTGAGTTAATGGCGGCTCATCATTTTAGGTCCCATGCCTATGGTTACAAATCTCTGAGCAACAAACCCAGGACTTGAATTCCAGTCTAGCCATGAAGCACACAGTCCCACCCAGTTCTTCTAAGATGTTCCAAACATTTCATCAGAATGTTCAATGCGTTTCTGACCTCATGTTTCCCAGTTACAGACTCACCCTTCTGGCTTCTGTGGGGTCTAGAGCTACGTCTCGGCTCCTTCACACTTGCAGAAACAGAAGTTCTACCATCGTCCTTTTAAATTTTTTTGCTCATGTCATACTGCAAAAATCTCTACAGTTGCTCCAAGCCCAATTTACCTCCTCTTCTTCTTCCTTACCCCAACCCCTTTCTTTCTTATCACCAACATGGGTGATTTGCATATACCAGAACCAAAATTTTTCTGAAGAATTGTGAAAACAATTCTTCCATTGCAACACTTAAGTGTTGGGAATTTGGTGGTCAGGGAGAGGTAACCGAACTCGCCCAAGTAACTTCAATCAGCCTAATAAATAATCAGTAGAATCCCTGGAATGCCCTCTCTGTGCCAATCCCTCCCTGTCCTTCAAAGGCCAAATCAAACACCATCTCTACCAGGAAACACTCAAGAGTTGCTAATGCTCTCCAGCTTGGAATTCCGTAAGACCTGATGCTACATTTGTTTATTTGTTTTGGACTCTGCCCTCCTAGAGTGGAAGCTCCCTGAGGACAGGTCTTTGGCATCTCGACTTTTGTTTCCCATCATGAACTTGTACACAGTAGAGTCTCAGTAGATGTTAGTGGGTGGTACGAATTATTAAACTTTGAGGCAGTTGATTCCTGACTCTACTTATTGACAGGTTGTTCACATGGCTGGTGTGTAAACCAGTCACCATGTAAACCAGTCACCAAGTAAACAGAGAAGAAAGTGAAGTCAGGCTTTCAACCCTGGCTAATTATTAGGAGCTCCAGAAGAGATTTCAACAGGGAAGAGATGTTGAAAGCACGAATTCTCCTTGCATCAGTTGACCCAGAGCTACAGTCCAAGGCCGAGACACACAGCCCTGAGGGGCTGATTCCTGCAGCCTCTCCTGGACAGTGTCCATCTTATGCCACCATGCTCATGAAGGTAGGATGGGGAAAGATTTCCCCAGAGCTTGGTGAAAGATCATAGAACATGGTCCGGACCCCTGCCTGACTTGAGAGAAATGCAGCAAATTCAGGCCCAAGCTTCTAAAGGAGGCCGATATTTTTCTCCAGAGGAGAGACTTATTTTGAAAACTGGAACAGGATATGAAATGCCAGGCTCAATTCTAAAGCCTGTGGTTGAACGGCTGTGAGGCCTGGACCCAAAATATCTGGGGAAATCAAGACAATCTAGAAAACGTGGCTTCGGAGCTTTAGTGACAGCTCGTGTGGTATTGTCCAGGCCTGCCTGAGCTTGAGGAAGTCAGATGCGGGGCGGGAAGCTGCATGAGTTCTGGTGGTGACCAGGGCCGTCTGTGTGAGCTGCATGGGAGCACAAGCATACCCTTCTCAGCCTGGCTGCACTGCAATCAACGTGATTCGGAAAAAAAAAAGAAAAGAAGAAAGAAACCCCATCCACTGAGTGCTTTTCTCCAGCGCTTTGCTCCACGCCGAGAACGTCTGCGCTCTGGATCCCTGCTGACTTTGCTGCCTGCAGTTCCCATTTCGAGGAGCAAGCAGTGTGTGGCCAGGGGGTCTCTGGGGTCAGGCCAGTGGTCTGCTGCCTGAGCAATTACATTCTGTTTTAGAAAGACAGAGAAAGGGAAATGGTTAGAGAAACATCTCTTTGGAGCGGCATGCAGCAAACACATCTCAAAGGCTCATAACCGCCACTCCCACGGGCTCTGAAGAGTCCCGCTGGCTGGAAGCCTCTTTGCAGGACAATTTAAAATAGCAATGCCACAAAATCCGAGAAAGCGTGGTTTATAATAGAAACCATATCTCGACCTTCACACTAGCAGCAAAACCATCCAAGCCAGCCAAACTGTCATCATTTCACCAGAGTTTTCACTGAAGCCACCCATGGCTTGAACATTATTGGTGACTTTTCTTAGACTGGGAGGATGTCAGAAGTGTATTGTATTTTCAGGGAGGTGGGAGGCTTCTGTTATAACCATGTCCTAGAAGAAAAATGCGGATTTTTATTAGGCCTCTAATACACCTTAGATAGGTTTCACCTTTTATTTTCATCTGACCAGATTTCAACGGTGTCCCCCAGTTCCCTGGAGACCTGCTGTGATGCCTCAAGGGAGAAAGGGAAGAACTTGGGTCCCTGACCCCACACCTCATGAGAATTATACTTTCAGTAGTTGAAAGGAGACACGATAGTTAAAATGTGTAACAACCAGCACCCCATGGGTGCCAGCCATTGAGAATGAAGCACCTGTTGGAGCAGCTGGAGGGCCGCCCTGACTCCTGCCTGTTGGAAAGCAGCCCTGTGCCAGCTAATGCTGTGCCTAGCTTCAAGGTGGTCCCTTGAAGCCCTTTGAACTTTGTAAGAGGGAGGGCCCATTTTGCTATGCCCAGGGCCACACAAAGGGAGATGAGGCACAGTCCCTGATCTCAGGCACTTCTCAGAAAAGGACAATCATCCTTTTACATGGCCTATGGCAGATGCCAGGTGAGCAGCTTCCAGGGGTTCCCATGCCTGACTGCACATCCCGACCACCTGGGGGACATTCAGAAGAGATTCCTCAACTCCTCCTGACCTGCTGAATGCAAATATCCAGGAGCCAGGTCCAGGCCAAGCTCAGGGTGGTCCTTGTGCAGCCAGCATGGGATGCACTGGTGTGGATGGTGAGCACCCTGGTTTCCAGCAGGGAGTGACGCTGTGGCCTCTGTGGGAAGAAGGCCAGAGGGGCAGCACCAGGCAGAGCAGGAGGGACCAGACGAGGCCCTGCAGCGGCACCTCTACTCTGGGTGGGATGCCAGGGAGGACAAGATTTCAACCCTCCCGCCACCTTGAGAGGAGTCATTTAGGGATGTAGGACACAGCTGGAGGCTGGATGTTGGGCAGCTGTTGGCCACCAGCCTCCTCTGCTATTCTTCCTGGCTTTGCAACCATTCTCCTATATATGGTGGAGAGAGATAGGAAGGAATGGGTGAGAAATATATATGCTCATGTATTCCAAAAATGCATCACGAAAAGACAAGTAAATGTGCCTAGAGTTTGCCAAAGCCACACCTTGCCCGTGTGCAACAGCAAATAATGAACATAGACCACTCGGTGCTCCCCGCCTCTTCCTGTCCCTCCACCCCTCCCTCTGCCTGCACCTTCATTCCCAGCGCAGCCTCGCATTTCTGGGTGTGCTCCCCAGATAGCACAGCTCAGCTCAGCACACAAAGGGATCCTACAATGCTGAATGCAAACGGATGGGCCCTGGCAAGTGTAGAACAAACTGTATTTACTGAGTTTCTGATTTGGAGGTAAAGCGCGAATGTTGCATTTTCTTTTCATTTTAATGCTAAGGATGATTAAGACAAAGGCCTGGTCTAGAAATTATAACCCTTATCTCATAATTATTCCTTGGCTACCCAAATTAATGCAAGCATATAACAGGCATTATCACAGGGAGCTGGCGATGGAGTGCAGGCACCCAAATAGAATGCAGGCACCTGCATGAAACCGCGCAAGCCTGAAGGCAACAGCTCAGCCGCTTCTCACCGCGCTTCCTGGTGTGGGGTGATTTATTTATTTCTGGTTCCTTCCTGTTAGAAATGATTAATTGGTTGAGGGGCTCATCAAGGAGGGTCCTCGCATTGCTGTCTACCCGTCTAGAGGGGTCCTGGAGGGCACTGGGAAGCGCTGAGCACATCACCGTGGGTGAAGATGTTACCTAAATTCCTAATATAGTGCTGACTGTACAGTGGCCAACTTGTCCTGGTTCACCTGGGACTGTCCTGGTTTTCAAACTGCAAGTCTTGCATCCCTGAAACTCTCTCAGCTGCAAACCAGGAGAGTTGATCACCCTGTTTGGTTGCCACAACCCCGCTAGCAAAACAACCCAGTTCCTCTCCCCTTCCAGCTCTTCCAGCCGTCTCTCTCTGACGGCAGCTTTCTTTCCGTCTTTCCCACCTAAGTCATTCAAGGGCTCCCCTGCTCTTGGAGTTCCCAGGATTCTGTCACTGCAGAACCGTTGTAGTGACCCCACCCTCTTTATTTGGACTCCCTGTGTGGACTCCTCATCCTGATTTCTCCTCTCCATTTCCCTACCCCACTGCTACACACACTCACACACACATAAATATTAACACACACACAACACAGACACACATAAACACACACTCACATATACACACTCGTGCACACACATACATGCTTACACTCATGCACTCACACACACTCTCATAGCCAGGCACATACACACTCATGCACACACACATGCACACTCATGCACACACACATGCACACACACATGCACACACGTGTTTACATGCATGTAGGACACATGCACACAGTTGCGTCCCCACTGACTGACTCTCCCACAGCCTCCTCCCGTGTCCCCTCCGCTGAAGGCCTCCCTGGGGCCTGAGCCTCCCTCCCTCCTTCAGGCTTGGGCACCCACTCCTGGTAGCGACTTACTCTGGAGTCAATGCCCAGCAGCTGCAGCCCCCTTCCTCCCTCACTAAAGCTGAGCTCTGTTAGGGGAAGGAGCCGCCCTCCACCTCTGTGCCCCCCACCCCAGAAGCCTAGCCGAGTTCCTGGCATGAATCCAGCGCTCAGTGCATGTCCGTGGAACTGAATAAACCAGCCCTGAAGTCATGGGCTTCTCCTACATGCTGGCAGGGACGTTCCACCGTCGCCTGGGACTCCTCTCACCTGGGGCCCCCCACTCCTTCTCTGCCCACGTGGAGTGGATTTCCTCCCCACCAGATGATGAGTGGGGAGCCACCGCCTCCAGCACACGTTGCAGGAGAACCGGGTGCTTCCTGCCACCCTGGGAATTGGCTGCCCACCCTACAGTGGGATCCCACTTAGAGGCCCCCCTGCCCCTGAACACACACACACAAGCCCACCCTCACCCTTGTTTCTCACCTTCGGCCAGATCTGGAGGGCTGGGTCGCCTCCCGGGATGTCACTAGGTGGCGCTATGCGGCAGTCCCTGGGCCCTGCAGGGGCTGGATGGGGTCAGCAGGCCAACCAGGAGCTTCCGGATCCGCAGGTGGGGATTCCCGCTGTGGAGGTGGAGAGGCGTGTGGCAGGCCCTTCTTCGTAGGCCTGGCCTCAGCTGTATGCCCTTGAAAAGATAATGTGGGGTACAAAACAGAGGTGCTAAAAGTCACTGGCAGAGGGAAAAGAAGAAAATCGTCGCCGCAGCATTGTGAAATGAAGGCTGAGGCCATCACTTACACTACACAGTCACCTGTGCACCTGACCCGCCAGGTGGCTACGATTTTTTCCTCAGTAAGGGCAATTGTTTTTCTGGGGCAACTTGTTATTTTAATAAAAATGAGTCGATTTACCTATGACTAGAAAGATCCAAAATCACCTTCAGGGCTGGGGTTTTCATGGCTGCGTGTGTTGATTTGTGGAATCTAGGCCGTCGGGCTTCATCTCTCTTGCTTCTGTTCTTTGTCATGGCACACACACAGATTATGAGGTTCATAATTGGTGAGGTCGTTCATAGCAAAAGAGTTCCACTTCGTGCTTCAGTGCTCTCCGCCTTGTAGACTGTGAGAGGGAGAAGCAACACATTAAATTAGCTGGTGAGACTAAATTGGGATGTGTTGTGATCATCACCATGGACAGATAAGGAAGAAAAAGAGAAAGTTAGAGATGCAGTAAGTGAAAGAAACCTTCCCATGGAAAAACACGAGCCACAGCTGGAGAAGGAGGGACGAGGGATGCGGGAAACTCAGGAAACGGAGAAACTTGGAAAGCTGCAATGCGAGGGGGCGATTTATGGGGTGAGAGCAGATGGCTGTGCAATGTGATATGACAGCTAAATAAGCATAAGCAGGCTCAGCCCTCACGACCCACACTGCCCGGCTGCATACGGCCTGGGTGCCTGGCCCCACCGCCAGGGGCATCTGCGGACCAGACCGCTGCCACCTATTGAGCACTTATTGTATGTCAGGGACTTAGCACACAGTCATGCCATCCCCCACAGACCCTACAAGGTGGCCAGGACCAGCAGGGAGACTGCAGCTCACAGAAGTGAAATAGCCAAGATCCCAGAGCTAGAAAGTAGCAGCTGGAATTTAACCTAATTTAACTGCACCAACCCAGTTCCAAAATCCTGTTAGTGCTTTGGTTCTGGTCACACTCTGTGAGTGAGGATGTGAGGTGCAAGGTGACACCTCACTGGCCAGTGCCAGCAGGAGCACTGCAGTGACCTCTGGCAGTATGGAGTGGAAGGGGCCCAGGCACCGGGAGACAGATGACCTGGGTTCCAGTCCCAGCCCTGCCTTGCACTAGCTGTGTGGCTCTGACTCAGTCACTTCACCTCTCTGAGCCTTAGTCCCTTCAACTACAACACGGAGGAAATGGTATCATCCCCACTGGGATGTTGTGATGGTTGAGTGGATGTTGGTGTCAGCTCTTGGTGGACTGCTTGGCTCACTAAACATATGATACTGTTACTAGTCTCGTGAGCCAACCTGTAAATTGCTGGTAGCTTAGCGGTCTTGATTCTACTCATTCATCATGACCAGCCTATTCTACCTCCTGCATTTGAAGTAGTAAATATTTGTAATATTGAAACCTGCGTAGCAAAGATGGACGGTTCGTCCTTGGTGAGGTCTTAGAAGAATGAGTGGCTTCTGTGGTACATGACTAGGCTTGCGCCCAGCCGGCTGCAGCCTCCACAGGACTTGCAAAGCCTTCTCTCAGTCCTCTATTTCATACGAAGTGAGCAGCTGTAGAAAATTTGGTTCTGAAGAAAAGAAGGGTGATGGGAAGTGATGGTTCTGGAACCCCTCCCAAAGGAAGAGTGGTTGAGGGAAATTAAGATCTGCAAAGCCTGGAAAAGGGAAGCAAAGGTGCCATCTTCCACTGTGCTCATTAACAGAGGAGAGGAGGCTGGCTTGGAGTTGCTCCCAAGGTCAGGGCTAGGAGGAAGAAGGGCAGGGTGGGCTGCATGGGAAAGGGCGCTGGAATGTGCTGAGGCTGGGCTCCAGCTGCTTTGCTAGGAAATGTGATTAGATAGATAATGTTTCCCGACGATTCTCCGTCAGCTGGATATCCCGCCATTCAGTTCAATGCTGACAACAATACCTGGAGTTAGAGTGGGCCTCACAGGTCAAGGGACTCCATCCCACAAGACAGCCCCCACTCAGATGCCAGCCACAAGTCCCAGGTCCCCAGGATGCCGGCACCTGTGTTTGATTTGGCTACATTCGAGGGATCACACTTCAGGTTTGATCATTCACTAGGACAATCACTGAACTCAGGAAAGCACACTACATTTAAGACGATGGTTTTATTGGAATGGATGGCCCTTAGGGAGGCACCACATAGAGAGGCCCGTGGGAGAGAAAGCATGGGAGGTGAGGCAGGCAGAGCTTCCACTCCCCAGGGGCTCCGGAACCGCACGCCCCGTGGGCTTCATATGGGGCTTCATTGAGCAGACACGAGTGAGGAAATCATGGGTCAGGTGATTGGACTCAGTCTCCAACCCCTCTCCCCTCTCCTGGTCTGGTTCCTCTGGTGGCCAGCCTCCACCCTGAAGCTGTCTAGCCCCCAACTCCAGGACCCCTCTCAGTAGCATTAATTCAGGTGTGGGAGAAAATAGCTCCTTTTAAATGGAAAGCCAGAGACATTCTTATCACTCAGGAAATTGTACCCCTGGTTTTCGGAGCTCTAGGTGAGAAACCTGGGACAAAGACCAAATACATTTTTTATGACACCACAGATACACTTTAACATCCCTTCTGCCACTAACTTACTATATTTAGTGGCTCTAAAACTGATTATGGGACACAATTCAGCCCCATGTAGGAAAACATCTTGTTAACTAGAGCACTTAGCAATTGAATAGGCTGCTGCCCAAGGTCTGAGCCTGGAGCAGGAAGAGTGGCAGCTGAGGTTGGGTGGCTCAGTCAGTGTGCAGAGGAGGAAAGCGCCCCCTGCTGGAGGGGCAGCGTGGAGCAGATGCCCGCTCAGCACCACTCAGGACTCAGAGTCACGTGTCTGCCTTGCTTGGTTTCAGAATCGAGAGATGCTTCCGTTTTGGATGAACAGCACCGGCAGGCGGGAAGGTTGGCAGCGTGGATGGCACGGCTACGACAACGAGCTCATGGACATGCGGGGCATCTTCCTGGCCTTCGGACCTGGTAGGCGAGGAAATGACCAGATCCTCTCAGACCCCATTCCCAGGGAAGCATCTGTAAGGGGGGGCTATGGGTGCCAGGAGAGGCTGCAGATTTCCTTACAGACCCTCTTTATGAGCCAAGCAGAGCAAACCCAGCCGGTCTCCATGAAACATCTTTTGCTGGCTTCCTTTCAAATGCTTCTTGGGTTTGGCAAATGTAGCCAAATACTTTGCCTCGTAAATTTTAAATCCTGAGTGCAGTGAAGAAAATGTATTCCACATGTTTGTGATTCATTTTTTACCTAATTCATCAAAATGTTATTTCACAGCTATCTGATGTCCAGGAAAGCTTATCGGACACCAGGTTGCTGACAGCTGTGAGTCTCACAGTTGATGCGATCGCTTCTCAAGGTCTGGCTCTTCCACAGTCCTTTCCATCTACAGCACCCACCTCAGGGAGGCTCATTTAGTTTAGGGCCCAACCAGAAGCTGGGATGTGCTCAAGGGCAGGCACGGAAATGACCTTGAGCCTGACTTTGAGAATGAGCCAGAATGACGAGGGATGCCTTGGATGAGAGCAAATTTGCTTTGTCTTCCTTGACCAGATTAATTCCTAGGGCTGGAGGAGAGGAGAGATGGAGGAGGCCTATCTGGTCATTTGATTTAACAGATGGATCCCTGTCAATTCATACTTCGGAAAAGTTTGCCAAACACTCAAGATCTTACTACTACCTGAACACCCTCTTCTCCCAAAAACAAAAATTAAAAAGGGGAAAAAAGCGTCCAACAGCCATCAGCCATCAACCAACCAGTTGACTGGTTCATGAGCTATCCTTCTTTCTTAGTACAGTCCCTCCTCCTGTACTAATTATAAGCAGCCTACCCTGATGCCTGTATTCTGAATGCCTTTCTCTAGATGTTGGTCAAAATGTTTCAGCCCCCAAAAGTCCACGTTTGCCTTTCAAATTATAGGTTAGATATCACATCTACAAGCTCTGCTTATCTCTTCAGTGTAGTAAGATCAAAGACGTATGTCAGCATCCCTTATTCGGCCTACCATGGTTCACTCTACTTTCCACAAAATCCCTGTTAAGAACTATGAGGTGTCAGTTTCTGCAACCTTCGTGGGTGCCTGAGCTTAGGAAACACATTAGTCCAAATCCCTTTCCGCATGTGATCCGGGTTCCCAAGTCCTCAAGGGAGCATTAGAAGCAGTAGCAGCAAATTCATGGAACACTAACAGGGTTCATGATGTTGGCCTAAGAGAGGGTTCTGAAGATGCTGCCTTTAACCAATAATGGTTATCAGGTGCTCCCTGTCAGCCGAACCCCAGGTCAGACATGCAGAGCCCCAAAGCTAAAGGAATTAGGAATGGAGCACGCTGAGGGTAACTGCTGGATTACATTGGATACATTCCAGGGCCATGGTCTCTCTTTGGGAGAACATTAGTCAGCAAGGCTTTCATTCAAAAGTGTGGCACCCTCCATTCCCAGATGAGGGAAATAGGATCATGAATGCAAAGCAGTTGTCTGGGAAGGACTATATACAAATGAGAGTCTCAGGAATATATGTGTGTGTGTGTGTGTGTGTGTGTTCTTGTGTGTGTGTGTGTGTTTCAGACAGTTTCTTGTCACCCAGGCTGGAGTGCAGTGGTGCGATCTCAGCTCACTGCAACCTCCACCTCCTGGGATCAAGCAATTCTCTTGCCTCAGCCACTTTAGTAGCTGGGACTATAGGAGCCCACCACCATGCCTGGCTAATTTTTGTATTTTCAGTAGGAAGACGGGGTTTCACCATGTTGGCCAGGCTGGTCTCAAACTCCTGACCTCAGGTGATCCATCTGTCTCAGCCTCCCAAAGTGCTGGAATTACAGACGTGAGCCACTGTGCCCAGCCGAGTCTCAGGAATATTTTAAAGCAGAACCAAATCTAGCCCCAAATTTTAAACAAGGTACCCAAAGCTGCATTAGCTTAAAGTTAAAATTCAGTGAAGAGATTCTGTCCATTAACAGAGGCCTCCGTCATAGGCTCCTTTAAGACTAAAAGCTCCCAGTCTTTTACGGACAGATAGATGACCCCTGATGAAAATGGACTGGGCTAATTGCAAAATGTTTCCAGGCAGATACAGCATCGAGAGCCTCCCGCAAACCATCACGTTCTGGCTCCAGTTCTCATGAAAAATTAAACAGCTTTACACACTGGCTGTTTACTGAGAAGAAAATTTAAGAGCAAGGCCTTTAATAGCTATCTAGCTGCACTTTGAGATAAAGGTGCATCCCTCCTGATTAACCGTATGTGCTTCTTGCTTAGGGAGAAAGCTGAGCATCACTGCAGCTGCCCAGATGCTGCCTTAGAAGTCAATGAGTCTGGTCCAGCAAAGAGAAAGGGAAGTAATTCTGCAGGAGAGCTTTTCTCTCGTTAATCCCAGTTTCTAATTTGAACGGTCTAATCTTGCCCTAGAGAACTCCACGTTCGAGATAAGACAGCAGGAGTGTGAGTCGGTGAGCTGCCTGAGAGCTAGCAAGCCTCACTGGGAAAGCAGCCCCCGGTGGCCAGGCACAGTGTAAGCCTGCAGAACCTCCTCTCTGTAAGAGACACATCTTCTCTAATAACCAAGAGAATGTAAACGCGCGAGGATAACTTGGACTCTCAGTCCATGTCTGAAGTGCCATCTTGAGCTAGTAGAG